TGGAATTGTTGGCTTATTTATATAGGCATATTATTATATATATATATATTATATATATTAATATAATAATATAATAATATTATATATTATTATAGTCATAATTAATTAAGCACATACACGATTATCGAAAAACCGCAATCTACGTTTTGAATTACCCGCCGGTAGTTGTATAGTACGGAGGTGTCTCGATAGATGATGCTATCGACGTTCATCGAAGTTCATTTTATCTTGAACATCCGCATCTTGGTAAATTCTACCTGGTGATGCTTGAAGTTGAAGGTTACATTGACAAGACTGTCCTGGGTAATTTTCCACGTTTTCTGAGTCCACCGTGTCATTATCCGCATTTACATTTCTACCAATTGTTTCTAAATTATCGTTGTGGACAATCTTATTCGATCGTTCTATAATCTTAAGATATTCTTTTATGACAGGAAAATGGTAATTTAATTTTGTGGAAAAGGATACGGTCCGTTTATTATACGATATTAAAATATTTATAACGTTACAGAAACTTGTACTTTTCAAAGGATCAAATTTTTTGTACGATTTGAATAGATTCTTGCTCAATGAAACGAGAACTACTTAATTACAAACTGTTCGCGATAACATAGAACTTCTTATGATCAATATTGTGAGAAGTAAATTACAGAATATAATGATAAGACACGCGTGGAAATACTGTATTGTCACGAAAATATTGAACATTTCAACGATGCTTATTAGGAAACTCGAGATTTTGAACTGACCGTAATTAAGTGTAAACATTTTCTCTTGCAGGTAGGTCGCGCCATGCGTTTATAATCTGCTAAAGATAGAAAACGAGAGATACCTTAATTATGAGTAAAACACAGCACTAGCAACACTTCGAAGCAGTACCCAAAAAGAATACAGCTCTATGCCATTTGTTTATACAGCTCTATAGCCATTTTACGTTATATTTTTACGGAAACGCCAGAAATATTGTATATTTGCAATAATATGTATTTTATTGATCGAATAGTGTACAACAATTACAAACGTAACAGAAAATTATCTAGATGTTGTATCGATCGATCTCATTTTGCCATTAACGCGGTCGTTCCTATTAACAATGAACGAATCCATAGCATCGAAGAGTTTAAATTTTTGTACTTTTAAGTCAATAGAGCAACTATGGCGGATCATGAAAATTATCGTGTCAAGAGATACGTTTATATTCTATTCGCATACTTACGATGCTGGACCGGTATTATTGCATTAGGGGTGTCGGTCTATATTAAGAACAATTTAATAATTAGTTAGATTTTTTGTACACGCTTGGGTACAAAGAAATCGCAGACTTATAAATTCGGAGTAATCTTAACGGAAGTCGCTTTAGAGGGTTCGGTATGACTGGAGTTCTGGAATCCCGGCTCGTTTTAAATATTTAAAAATGTTACGGATGGTTTTAAAAGAGAGATTAATTTAGTATCATGGCGCTGTTATTATAACACGTATATTTTGTTGACCGTAACACCAAAATTGCCTCTTGACAACCGCGCGTTTTAAATATTTAAAAATGTTACGGATGCGTTTAAAAGAGAAATTAATTTAGTATCATGGCGCTGTTCTTATAACACGTACATTTTGTTGACCGTAACACCAAAATTGCCTCTTGACAACCGCGCTCGGTTCACACTGTCCGACTAATCGTTACTTCTCAGTGTACCAGGACGTATTGCGGACCACTCTACCGTAATTAATAGAACCATCAACGGTTACGTTAATAAATAAAATCTTTTAAACGCGATAATTTCAATGTTTATTTTGTCAATATTAACGAAAAACTTAGCGCATTGATTCATCAGCGGTTCACAGCTGTATAATTATTGAAAATACTATATGACGATGACACGATTTACGTAGATCATTCAGTTAGATACGGTTATGCGTTAATACATATTTTATTATATTTTTTACAGATCTTTTAGGCTACTTTCCTATGTATTCTAATATAATTCTATTCAATAATATTGCAATAATATTTGACACTTAAGAATACTGTTAAATTCTGAACATATCGAAAGTTCCATTTTCAAGCTGCACTTAGGTATAACAACATAAAATGCAGCATATCTGAAAAATTAAATAATACGAAGCGTTTAGTAATCATGTGTTTATTGTAATTTCGCTTCGGAAAGGTAACTTATCGAACTTTATTGACAAAATGGCAGTCGTAGAATAAATTTTTACAAAACGTGTGTATATATATATGTATATATAGATATGTATATGTATAGAAAATGCGTACGGGTTGTTACGAGAATAATATCAAGATTATGCGATAGGGAACGAGGAAGAATAGGTTTTGCTTGATATTAAAATGTTATTACGAAATTGTTACGAATCCCTAACGTTATACATCTTTATATTATTAGAGTGCCCGGTCTAAAACTACAGTTGGCACGATGATAGCTTGCAATATCGACGAGCTTGTTTGCTAGGACATGCGCGTAGCTTCCAATGGTTTACATGCAACTTTTCCCGCCATTTTCCCCGTTGCTTCCGTCGTCAATGTCTCTGCTGTACGGTTACCACTTTCCGCTCCTCCAAATTTATATTCGATCGTAATTATTGCTCGCCGTTGGTTGCCTCCACTAATTCCTCGCATTTGTCTTCTAGATCGGCCTGCAATTTTGTTAAAACAGCGTATCGTTTTTATTATGTCATAGAACGGTTTAAAAAAAATATATTTTAAGTTAACGTTTCGTGGTAGATAATAATTTATCGATAGAAAATTATTTTCCGTTTCTATAATTATAACGTCTTTTTGGAATATTTTATGATTGTTATCGTCGTTGAATATTGAACTTATGAACACGTGTGCAAGGCTGCGTGGCACAATGCTAGTGTTAAAGTATATTTTATGAAAATTAATAATCGTTATCTCTTTTAGAGACAACGCGTGTGAAGTGATCCTAGTTTTGTATCAGTCTCCAACTGATAAATAATTTTGAGCGGTTTCACTCGAAAAAATTTAGTATTGCCAATGCATTTTCCATGTCGTTTTCTCTTTTTCCTCGGATCCTTGAAGCTCAGATCTGTATGATTGACTTTTTCACACTAAACCTACCGCGGTCAAAGTGACCGCTTTCTTATTTCGCAATTCTGCAAAGTTCCGAGACTCTTCCGTGGAAAACGCTTGAATAAGTTACATATTATTGGAGCAAGTTTTATAATAAAAACTTTACAAATTCTAAGTAAATTCGGTCTTCTCACTTTTGTGANGAACGGTTTAAAAAAAATATATTTTAAGTTAACGTTTCGTGGTAGATAATAATTTATCGATAGAAAATTATTTTCCGTTTCTATAATTATAACGTCTTTTTGGAATATTTTATGATTGTTATCGTCGTTGAATATTGAACTTATGAACACGTGTGCAAGGCTGCGTGGCACAATGCTAGTGTTAAAGTATATTTTATGAAAATTAATAATCGTTATCTCTTTTAGAGACAACGCGTGTGAAGTGATCCTAGTTTTGTATCAGTCTCCAACTGATAAATAATTTTGAGCGGTTTCACTCGAAAAAATTTAGTATTGCCAATGCATTTTCCATGTCGTTTTCTCTTTTTCCTCGGATCCTTGAAGCTCAGATCTGTATGATTGACTTTTTCACACTAAACCTACCGCGGTCAAAGTGACCGCTTTCTTATTTCGCAATTCTGCAAAGTTCCGAGACTCTTCCGTGGAAAACGCTTGAATAAGTTACATATTATTGGAGCAAGTTTTATAATAAAAACTTTACAAATTCTAAGTAAATTCGGTCTTCTCACTTTTGTGAAGCAGTACGTGCCAGTTAGTATTACTGCTTGATAGGTTTAGTGTTAAACTATTTCTTACCATTGATTCGGTGAAGTTTTCGACGAATATAAAGATATCACTCGTTAATCTTTTCAAGCAGAACAGAAGTTCGAAACATATTTTACTATTCGAAAGCTATAATAATGATAATATTAAATAATATTAAATATTAGATAATATTAAAAATTGTCGCGATGCGTTCAGGCTTCTTGTGCAATCGAAACCCTGAGTAACACGTAAAAGCTTCGCACGCATTCCTCGAAATACTTTGCAGGCCTTTACGCAAAGAAAGACATTACCTCTTCGAGCTCTAAGCATTTACCCCATTCGATAAGGGTAATTTTATGGTCGTCATTAATGTCACAGGAATCGAGGAACGGCGCGATACAGTGCTCCAGAGCCATTAACGGTGCCCGAATAGGAAAGAGCTCGTGCCTGGAGACAGCTCTGTCATGGGGATGGCCGTCCAAATCGCACCATTTCCAAACAGCGGCGTTGGTCCAACGCAACGTGTGATTCGATTCAGCTTCGCGCTGCATTTTCAAGTAATGGGACGGCAGCTCTTGACGGTCGGCTAAGTCTCTCATGATGTTGAAAAGCCAGTCACGCATGCGCCTCGGGAAGTCAGCCATGTCTTCTTCTTTGCACATCTGCAACACGATTGAATTGTTGCACGATCGATTTTAAATTATTGTTTCATTTCCGCGGTCGCTTCGCGCGAGAACTATATTATTATATTATATTATGTTATACGTATAATAATTGTTAACGCTAGAACCACCGGACGCTGACGGTGGTTAATTTACATTGCCTTAAAAAAGAATAAGTAGACAGAGTTCGTTCGAATTTCATACAATTTTGATTGTTACTTAAATTATTCTTATTAACTTATTTGCCATAAAAGTAGCTTCGCTGTCTCTGGTAACAGCTGTAAAATAAAAGTTCTGAAGTCCGCCATTTTCACGGGTTCGATGGGTCTAGCGTTAATATAAAAATATTAAAAGCAACGTTACCGAAATGTTGTACGAAATGAGAACGATAGACTCCGTTAACGAATGATAAAGTTGACGAAACTAGAGAAAACATTAAAGTGGAGAAAGAGATATCATTGAAATCGGCATGAATTCAACATCGCGCTCCATGATTAAATTAATTACGAGTCCGAAACGAAGATCGATACAATTATAAGGTATAGCCACGTTATCCGCAAGCGATATTTTGAAATTTACACGTTTATAGCAGATGTCGTCGGACAAACTACGGTAAAATAAAAATTTTCACCCCTTCCGCTGCAGCGGAACTGGTCGTTAGTACGGCACCGCTGAACGAGACGCGATGCCATAAGCCATAAGCGTTCATTGTCCGGATAAACAGTGCCTGGCATACTTACCAGTCTGTTATCTTTCGCTCGTGCGCCATGTTTGATAAAAAAATGGAATCATAATAACGGGCGCGTTCGAAACGATCCGAAACCAATTTCCTTGTACAGTAATGTCTCTCTAATTGACGCTCAGATTGTCCACAGAAATGGACAATTTGGGAAGAGGGGATGTCAAGGTTATATTATATTAATTATATTATATTATATTATATTAACATAGCCTTGCGGTTCGTTTTCATCGTCACGAATTGTCAAGAAACATAAAAACGAGCTGCATGGCTCGAATAATCGTATCTCCTCTTCCTAAATTTTCCATTTTTCTGCGCGATCGGAGCGTCAGTTAGAGAGACATTATTGTAATCGGTAACGGATTACTTAAAAAAATTGTTAAGCATTATAATTCAGTTTGGTCGAGAGTCGAAATATTTCGGTCTTGTTCTCGTCGATTAGTTCTTTAAAAAAAAAAAACGTGCATAGACGCGCGTTGGCTGGTTGCATTCTACGTTAAAAACGACAAATTAGTTACCCTGCGCGCAGCACGCGTCTGGCATAATTCGTTTGCACGAATTTCAAAATAAACTGCCGGCTCGGAACGCGTTATATTGGTAATACATATGTATGCAATACGAAACACTTACAGGCATCTGTCGGCATTCACCATAGTACTCGATGTGGACGTGTTGATAGTCAGGTCCCCTGCACCTGGCGTCGTTTGTGTCGCAGAAACAACGCGCTTGGTACACTTCGCAGTCGCTGCCGAACGTTTCGTTGTACTGCGTGCAAACCTTTCGCCTCGGATCGGCTTCCTCGTCGCAAATTTCGATGCAGACACACTCGGCCGTCTCTTCGTCGATCGTCTAAAATTAGCGGTGTCAATTTCTGTAGATTGATTATAAACATTGGCAACGCGAATCGAACGTATTTTCTGGACGTTGACGCTGCTTTTGCCGGAGCACGTTAACGGTACAGTAATGTAATAAGTAATGTAATTAGGGTTGTTTCAAGGTTTAAAGTTACGGTGTAGCGGCTCGTTGAATTCGTCTCGACATCCGCTGGAATATTATATTAGAATAATTATATTGGAATATTATATTATATCATCTACAGTAATGTCTCCCTAACTGACGCTAAGATTGTCCACAAAAATTGGACAATTTGGGCGAGAGGAGATACGATTGTTCGAGCCTTGTAGCTCGTTTTTATAGTTATTGATCATTCGTAAATATGAGAACGAACCGCAAGGCTCGTATCTCCTCTTTCCAAATTGTCCATTTTCGTGGACAACCTGTGCGTCAATTAGAGAGACATTACCGTGTTTTAAGCAGCGTGGACGAAGAACACCCTGCGTAATTCGCGCAGCATTTCTTCTATGATTTCGACGATTAGACTGTTTGTAAAAATTCTGGTGATTCTTGGCTAAATTTTGTATACGCAGCATTACGACAGTATCCTGGTCGTAAAAGAAATATAAAAGAAGTATAAAATTACAGATACTGTGGCGAAGTTTAAGCGCAACATCGTGTACGTATATTTTACCGTGGCAACGCGTAGTCGTAAGTAGACTGCGGAACTTCGTGCGTTTAGGTGCTGTATTCATGAATTATTCGAACGCATTTGTATTATACAAAATTAGAAATGCTTTTAATTCGGTTTCGCTGCGATGAATCGTCTAATCGGCAAAAGGGTCCTGTCGTAAGTGTTGTATCTTGATTTCTTCCAAAATTTATGGCAAATTGTGCCGTAGATACGATTGGTAGAATAAATGCGAATAGTAAATCGTAACATAATAAGATACTAAATAATATAAATAATAGTATAACTGATATACTATATAATGATATAATAAAATAATAAAGAAATCGTCGAATATCATTCAGAACGGAGTTCCGGATTGGCTACAGAGATTGCGAATCTTTACACAAGATAAAATGTTTCTACGTTAACTGCGTGGAATAGAAATTAGATAAAAATATATTCCGTAATGTAATATCGTCGATGTCGAAGGTAATACGACAGTATTCTTAAATTCTTGTAAAGTCTCTCTATTTCGCCTACTCATTTTTGCTGCATTTATGCTTGATGCGTAAAATCCGCGATGCATAATACCCATTTCAATTCCGCAGAATTATTTAGGCATATTTTTCTCAATTAGATAGCTATCCGTTCAGCGTTACAGTAACGTCTCTCCAATTGACGCCCAAATCGTCTAAAAAATGGGCAATTTTGGAAAAGGAGATACGATTGTTCGAGCCTCGTGGCTCGTTTTTTATGCTTATCGATTGTCAACAGCTATAAAAAACGAGCCGCAAGACTCGAACAATCGTGTCTCCTCTTCCGAAATTGTCCATTTTTCTGCACAATCCGAGCGTCGATTAGGGAGACATTACTTGTATTATGTTCCTATCGACGAGGCAGGGCGAAGCGAGGGATCATGCGGTTGATTTGGGCTACCTTGCAGACTCGTCCTGCGCCACAGTGTTTATCCATGCACGGGTCCATACGGAGCAAGCTCTGACGCTTCGATCCAACCTCGTTTCCACCATCTTCGACGGTGACCTCAGCGTCCTCCGCTGCCTTCTCGGCTATTTCGTCAGCCTCGAGCATGTTCATGACCTCATCTGGAACGCTGGTTTCCGTTGTCGTCGTCGTGCGACGTCGAATTTTCCTCCGCCGCTGGAGAGATCAATAATCGTAACAATTCTTTTTTGACGAACAGTGCAGGCACACTCGTCTTACGCGAACGAACATCGTCGTCTACGTAAATAATACGTGCGAACTAATTTTCACCATCGAAATTAACCATCGTTTCGCACCAGAAATGCCAGGCTAAAGCGACGCTTTATGTTTCTCGCGGCAGCTTGTAATTTCCGTTGCGCTTAACAAGTTACAAAGCGCGAATATGCGCGATTGCAAATTCACGCGAAAAAGGATTCGGAAATGCTCGGTCGAGAGCGAAGAGTCGAAGAACAATCGAATATATTCGAATAATAAAATACGATTCGTACGTGAATGGTAATCCGAATACGTACGTGTTTGTGAAATTTATTAAATTACATTTCCGCAAATTACAAAGCGTAAATACGCGCGATTGCAAATTCACGCGAAAAAGGATTCGGAAATGCTTGGTCGAGAGCGAAGAGTCGAATGCGAAGGATATATATTATATATATATCTATATATTATATATATTCGAATATATATATATATTCGAATAATAAAAAATACCATTCGTACGTAAATAGAAGTCTGAATGCGTACGTGTTTGTGAAATTTATTAAATTACATTTCCAAACTGTTGTTATTATCGTAAATTGCGCACACCCTTTATATGGGTGTAGAATTAAGACTTTTCAATAAAGCCGTGTAAACTGTTGCCACAGGAGCACCGCCGTTTGTCCGATAAATTAATATTGAAATGTATTCGATTTTTAGACGGCTTACCTGACCCGACGCGTCCACCGCGAGACCAATCAAGAGGAACGCGACCAACAGGAAGTGTATTTTTCTCCGCATTTTGATATCTGCAAATAAAACCAGGTAATTGTTTAATTTAGCGAGCGCGCACAGAGCAAGAAGAAAATCAATACGCGATACAGTTGCAACAATGTGCCCTTTCATGTTCGAACTGTGATCGGAGAACAAAAGGGTTGAACAAATAAGCGTGTTGAATCCGATAAGAAAAAAGATTGACCGACTTTAAAAATTTCGATTCGCTCTGCCGAGCGAAAATGGAAATTTACGTTATATTTACAAGATTACTTTCTCTCGAAAGCTCTTTAGAGCTACGTTAAATAAAAGATGCAGAGATTCGTGTTTCACTCGAGTAGAACAATTATGCTCTATTAGATAGAGCAATTATATTAGGTTTCGAAATCGAAGTTGCGAACCCTGAAAAAAAATTAAGTCAATCGAACACTACATTTCGAATCGGTACATTTTCTATCGTACCTCTACCAGTTTATTTTTCTCTGTCGTAAATCGATTATCCCGCGCTGCAATTGATCGTTGCAGAAACTTTTATCGCCGCAGTTTATTATTTAATTGGGGACTGTTCGCGTCGAACGATTCGCGTTCATGACGATCGTTGAAAATTTATTTATGACTTGCGCGAACGGATACCATGTGGGTCAGTCGGACCAACGATAAATCTCGTAGATCTTAATAGGAGTAACGAAGCGATAACCCAGATACTAGGAAATCGCAATACTTTTCGAACTTGTTCGTCGTGTAATCCTGTACGCGCGCGCGCGCGCGCGCTCGCGATTCGTTTTTCGGATTTCATGTAACGCGTAAGCGCTTGTTACGACAAACGCTGATGATAAAATCTATTTATACGGTGTCCCCGCAAGATCGCAATTGAACGATCATAAACGAAGGCCACCGTTGTACTCATTCGCTTCGGTATGAACGCCCACGTGTAATTTGAGCGATCGTCATTTGTATACGGCAATTATAATTTGTCCCATTCCTTTGCTTTAGGTAACGTGAATCGAACGAAATCTTCTAACTGTGACTCGGTGTTTCGATAATGTAAAGAAACACTATTTCGCGTGTTCTAAATACATGGTGTCCCGAAAATGTCCCGTAATCCGGAAATGGGAGATTCCCGAGGTCATTCGAAGCAACTTTTTCCTCAGCGAAAATGCGATCCGCGGCTTCGTTTGCGAGTTATTAGCGAAAAACGGCGACCAATGACAGACGAGATCAGCCGACGCGAGGCGGAGTTCCGCTCTCAGTTCCCCGCTGATTGGCTCGGCCGAGTTCGCCTCTCATTGGCCAGTGTTTTTCGTTAATAACTCGTAAACGAAGCCACCGATTGCATTTTCGCTGAGGAAAAAGTTACCTCAAATGATCCGAAGAATCTCCCATTTCTGCATCGCAAGATATTTTTGGGACACCCTGTGTATGTACATTGTCTAGTAGAATGGGTCTTTAGTTGCAATTTTCAGGTACTACGGGGATTCAAAGTTAAAGTTTAAGCAACTTTTCGAAGAGGAGCGTTCAAACTCGTAGAAATTCGCCAAAAGCTGATTGAAAATTTACTCGCGTTAATATTTTAAACTCGTGGGAATCTAAAGCTAAATAAGCTGAAACTTCGACGGTTGGTAATACTGTCTCCGTTCGTCCACGAATCGCTGGGAATCCCCGATCTAAGTTACCGGTGGTATGCGGTACGTTGAGCAAGCAAATATTGAAATTTAGTAGCTTTCGCGAAGTTGAAATTTGATACTTGAAAACGTGAAGGCAGCCTTGACAAACGTCGTCGAAAAACCGAGAATTTGCTCGAATGAATTATCGGCTACGGGGCGCTGATAGAATTAAGCGATTTAAAATCGGAAATACTCTTGAAAACAAATAAAAGCCATGCAAACGGTATTTTTGGAATCAATAATGTGTTTTTGGGAATTCGAGGTGCTCTTCCAACACTATTTTTATCGAAAAGGAGTCGAAAGACACCTTTCAAAATTCACTTTCAAGAAATCGAAGTTCGAATCGAAAATTATTTTCGAAATTCGATCGCTTTGCCTCGATCGCCTTCGCAGCATTTCCTCTAACGATTATAAAATCGATCCGGTAAAAATAGACACACGCATGTACGAAAAGTCGATAAAAATAGCGTCCGGTCTTGCCGACGTTATTCTTCGGCACTTCTTCGGCACGATTTAGAAGCTGGAAATTAAAGCGCGGCTTCCTGACCGTGTTACGAACTTACTAAATATAACTTGTTTGGTTTCCGCGTAATTCTTCATTGGGTTTGATTACATTTGTAGCATGAAATTGCCTGCGAACATTAAACACAGGCCTCTGGCATCACGCCATCAAACGTTTTTCGCGTCTTCCATGCTTTTTTCATCTCCACGAAATTCTTCGCGAGAGACGGCGAGCCGCCTCTTTATGAGATGCATTTCATTAAAAAATTCCATAACATCTCCGTGAACTTCATTTTTCATACTTCTATGCAAATGTATAGAAGATATGTATATATATAAGAATTTTTAGTCTCTTTGCTCTTAATATTTTAATAATATTATATTTATATAATAATATATAATAATAATATAATATAATAATAATATTATATATAATATATAATAATATATTATATATATTATATATATATAATAATCCGTACGGTTTTTTCAAATAACTTCGCGATCGAGTAGATTTCACTCGTTTCAACAAAAATCATCAAGATGTTCCCACGGTTGCGAAAAGAATATTTTAACAGCAATTTTCAGAAATTTTCAGTTTACCGATTCTTGTGATTTTCCGGCTTTCGCATAAAAAAAGTAAAATACACCGCGTTTTTTACCGCAGTCCCGTTCCCCGTGTAGCTGGTTTCGTTAAATTCCTTCGTGTCGAGTTACATTATACTCCCTCTAGACTATTACGAGCATAACCGACGTAAAAGATCAATTTCATTTTTATCTTCTTTCTTGATCAAATTGCATACATGGGCGACGCAAAAAAATACATCGAAACCACAACAAAGAAACGAAGACAGAGGGGCAAATCTCGGTCGCGCGTAGATAGTATTCTTTCTAGGAAGGAATGTATCTTCTGATCATCGTTTCTTCGAAGCCGCGCTAACCCTAGAACATTGTCTTCCATTTCGCAAGTGTCCCAGAAAATTTAACGATGTAACAATTTAACGTAGCCTCCTCCTGTGTGCCCACTTTCAGATAGCATATATAACGCAAGCTCAAGATTAACCCTTTGCACTCGAAGCCAAAATAGCGCAAAATTTCAAATAGCTCTTCTGACCCACGATATTTCTATTTTATAGAAGTTAGTGCACATTTTGTACATGTTAAATTGAATATTGTGATTCGTGCGACAGTCACGCTTTTAACGATTCTTTAAATATAAACAAATTTGGTTAATAAAATTATCTTGAAACGTGACACAACAATTTTTAATGGCGCCTTGGAGTCGCCGTTCGAGTGCAAAGGGTTAAACCGTTCTATTAAACTACAAAGTTCAACGTAATCCGCGAAGGATCGGCAAGAAAATGTTGTCTACCGCGCCAAACGAACGATCAATTAAAATTAATCAGGACAGCAAGTCGAAAATATTCGATCGAAAGCTGACTATAACTTGTACAATTGAACAAAAGCGTTCATCCTGAAAATATGGCAGCAGGATGAAAGATTGCTGTCGCGTCGAACGTCTTAATTTTCATTAATTAGCAACGTAACTCGAAAATATTCGATCGAAAGCCGACTATAACTTGTACAATTGATCAAAAGCGTTCATCCTGAAAATATGGCAGCAAGATAAAAAATTGCTGTCGCATCGAACGCCTTAATTTTCATTAATTATAGACGCGTTTTGAAAATATGCGATCGTGGGGCGATTACGATTCGCGTGTTTTATCGGAGGTGAAATAAAAACTCCGTTTACTCCGAAACGTACGTGCTGCCACGCGAAAAGCAACAGTGGGACAAGCCTGTGCAAAACGTGGGGGCGACCGTAGCGTAGAAATCGCGGTCGACCCTGTATTTATCGCTTCTCTGATCAGCGCCCACGAAATCACATAACCGCAGTCATGGAGGAATTCTAAGGAGGAATCTCGCAGTATCTCTGTCGTGACTGCGAAATTTTCCAATTTACAATTTACGAACCGTTCGTGGCTACGTATGTATTTACAGGCCCCCGGCATAGTTTTGCCCGTTGTCGCAGTCACGAAACGCGCTGTGCAACCGCTTGTTCACTTTCATTCGTTTCACTTCATTTCGGTAATACGAGATTTCCTTTCGAAACGATCAATTTTCCCTGCGACAGAGGCGACGCGATTAAATCTTAAATTAAAAAAAAAGCTTAAATCAACGTAAAATCGTGGATTCGTTGCTTGCTTCGATGATTAATAATTAATAATAATTAATACGTTGCATATTTTAACAATGACACGACAAATAGACCGAGGATTTTCTGCGCTTGTGAAACAAAAATTAAGTAATACAAGTCGTATAGAATATTATTAGAAAATATTAATAGGCCGTTAGAAAAATTTGAACACGCTTGGAAGACTTTTATTTCACTGACCGCACGTAATTGTGCGATCGTATCGTATGATTTTGCTGATTATCGAGGAATTGATTCCGATATCGTGCGATCAAATTGACCAAAACCGAGCAATGCAATTTTTTAGCCACGAAATACGTTTAGCAAATCAGAATGTATTATTACGTACAAACGCATTAAAAATATAATCTGAGATTTATGGCTTGTGATCGATTTTAATAATTTCTTACATTATTTTATAGCATTTTACAATTTATATAATATATATATTATTATTATTATATATTATTTATTATATATCATATATATATTATTATTATTATATATTATTTATTATATGTCATGTATATATTATTATTATTATATATTATTTATTATATATCATATATATATATTTTTTATATATACATATAATAATGAAATTGGCAATACCGAACTGAAATATGCCCGATGAAGGACAAAAGTGTACGCGTATGGGGGATCGAGGTATGAAAATAATGTACGAAATGCACGATTGCTTTCGCCCTTCGCTATAGCAACAGCATTGCGCTATACGCGCACCGTGACATATTCTTTCGATGCTAAACTATACGCGAAGCGATACAGAATACGATTATTATTATATATTTTTCTCTGGGAAGAGGATGTTTGATTTCCGTTCCAAGAAAGATAACTTCCGAGAAGATAAATTAATTGTGACAGTACGCCCACTGTCGATGGATCGGCCAACCGTGCACGGGTACGTCTTGCGGTACCAATGAAGTTTATTCATTAACCGCTTAAAGAAATAGATTCGCGTCTTCGACGTATCTTCCGTGTTGACAATCAAGCGCAACTAGAGATAATTAGAAGGGAGGTAAACTTCTGCATTGAGATCGTAATAATACGATGCGAAATATTTACCAAAACTAGATAAAGTAAGTTAAGAAATATTTGCAATATTTATATATATATTAATTTATTGATCGAACTATTATATATATTGTAATAATATTATTATAATTATAATAATAAACTAATATATATATATAATATTATATATATTAGTTTATTGTCGAAGAATATTTTTTACGCGAGAGATTTATAAACGGTTCGAGCAAAAGGTTGCGCGATATATTAATTTCTTAATTCTGATATCGCTCGATTGACGATATAAAATGGATTAATAAAAAATGGTGGAATCGAAATTGAACAAGTAAAATTTTGTACACGCCTGCGAGAACGTGGCGGCATCGCAAGAATCTGAACACTGAACGTACAGATTTTTATTATCGCACAGGGGTCACCAGTTGGTTACCATATTGTCTGAAAAGTTGATAACCGTGGTAAATAGGTCACGTTGTTTAGAACGCCTTTTCTAAAATAGTCTTTCGACGCGAAATAGTCCCCGATAACTAACTAATATTATTAACAACGATTCTTCAACGACGAAATTGGCGTCAATTAATTGTGCTGTCTTTGATCAAATACCAAATCTTTTATCGAATGGTATATACATATATATGTACGTCGATTTTACATATTTACACATATATCTTCTGCAAAACTATTTCGCTTAATGTATAGTAATACAACAAACGATTATATTTCTAGAAAGATATTAACGCAAGTTGGGCTTGCCAAGCCGATTGTGCCATCTATGTATACAGTTCTGATATATGTACATACATATATATGTATATATATAACGATGATATAACGATTATATCATTCCCATGGCGTACCGAACGTGGTTGTATCGCGTTGCAATTAGCGACGGTATAAATTTAATAATGAAGGTGAATTTTAATTGGAAGAAGATAATACGAGCGTACGTATTGTTTACGAAATAATGAATAATTTAACCGTAGCAGTATTTGTTCGAATAAATATTAAATTCGAGTAAATAAGTATCGCGAACACCGGAGAACTTTCGAACACTGTTTCGTGCACTAATCTCGCGATAAGACTTAAAAAAAAACGCTGACATTCGACACCGTGCGCGTTTCTACAGATTTTTCTCTCTTTGAAATATCCCTTCAGCGGTTAGAATAGTTCTCGGTACAGTAAATTCTCCCTAATTGACGCTCAGATTGCGCACAAAAATGGACAATTTTGGGAAGAGGAGATACGATTATTCGAGCCTTGTAGCCCGTTTTTATAATTGTTGAGGATCAACGACCATAAAAACGACCCTAAAAGCTCGAATATTCGTATCTCCTCTTCCCAAAATTGTCTACTTTCGTGGAAAATCCGAGCGTCGATTAGAGAGACATTACTGTAGACAATCTGGGAAGAGGAGACACGATTTTTCGAGTCTCGCGGCTCGATTTTACAGTCGTTGACAATCGGTAACTATAAAATTGAGTTGCAAGACTCTCGAATAATCGTATCTCGTCTTCCCAAATTATCCATTTTCGTGGAAAATCCGAGCGTCAATTAGAGAGACATTACTGTAGACAATCTGGGAAGAGGAGACACGATTGTTCGAGTCTCGCGGCTCGATTTTACAGTCGTTGACAATCGGTAACTATAAAATTGAGTTGCAAGACTCTCGAATAATCGTATCTCGTCTTCCCAAATTATCCATTTTCGTGGGAAATCCGAACGTCAATTAGAGAAACATTACTGTAGACAATCTGGGAAGACTAGACACGATTGTTCGAGCGGCTCGTTTTTACAGTCGTTGACAATCGGTAACTATAAAATTGAGTCGCAAGACTCTCGAATAATCTCTTCCCAAATTGTCCGTTTTCGTGTACAATGCGAGCGTCAATTAGGGAGAATTTACCTTATATTTTTCGAACGGACGCGAGAATCGTCGAACGCAGCGTTCGTAAAAGTCTCTCTTTCGTACGAAGGGGCACACACCTGTCCCGGTACAATTACATACCTGGAGCGAATCCACTGTTCGGAGGAGTTCTTTCCTTCCTCGATGATCGGCGCCGCGCGATTCGGTCCTTTCTCCAGCCGTTTTCTGGAACGGTCAAAAGAACACTCCAAATCGGTCGCAGGACCGGTACTGACTACACGAGCACGAGCGGCCGCGACTCGGCGAGCACGCATCGGCCGAGCAAAGATGATCTCATCGTTTTTCTTTCTTCTGACACCCCCGTTTGATCTTTCTGCCAGATGCACTGGTTCTCGTTTCTCTTGTCGCTTTACGAGCGAGACTGCAACAAATTACGCAACGCACGGATCTGGAAGCTTCGTTTTTTCTTTCTTTTTTCGTTTTTTTTTTTTTTTGCTTCGGGC